ATTATCGTATTATTGTTGTAACTATTTGGTCAGGGAAGTGTGAATTTCATGTTGCCTCTCCTATCTTCTTCGGGACACCCAGGCAATTCCACAATTAGAATTGGCTTCCCACGGCCGGGCGCGGTGGCTCACACCTGTAACCCTATCACTCCGGGAGGCCAAGTTGGGAGGATCACTTGAGCCCAGGAGTTCAAGAGCAAGACCCCATCTCTACTAAAAATAGAAAAAATTAGCAGGGCATAGTGGCGCATGCCTATAGTCCCAGCTACTCGGGAGGCTGAGGCAGGAGGATTGCTTGAGTCCAGGAGGTTGCAGTGAGCAGTGATGATGCCACTGCACTCTAGCTGGGGTGACAGAACAAGACACTGTCTCAAAAAAAAAAAAAAAAGAATTGGCTTCCCCCCCAAAAAAGTATTTATGCTCATTGTGGTTTTTTTATTTTTTATTTTTTTATTTTTTGAGACAGAGTCTCACTTTGTTGCCCAGGCTAGAGTGAGTGCCATGGCGTCAGCCTAGCTCACAGCAACCTCAAACTCCTAGGCTTAAGCAATCCTCCTGCCTCAGCCTCCCGAGTAGCTGGGACTACAGGCATGCGCCACCATGCCCAGCTAATTTTATATATATATATTAGTTGGCCAATTAATTTCTTTCTATTTATAGTAGAGACAAGGTCTCAGTCTTGCTCAGGCTGGTTTCGAACTCCTGACCTCGAGCAATCCGCCAGCCTCGGCCTTCCAGAGCGCTAGGATGACAGGCGTGAGCCACTGCACCCAGCCTCGTTGTGGTTTTTCTAAACTAAACTTTTTATTCTGAGATAATTGCAGATTCCCATGCTGTTGTGAGAACTCCTGCAGAGATCTTGTGTATCTTACCCATCTGCTCCAAGGATATCTTCCAACAGGTAGGACAACATCACAGCCTGAAAACTGACATGGATACAGTCAAGACCAGACATTCCCTCATCACAAGCAGCCCTCGGGCGCCCTTTATGGCCGCACCTGCCTCCCCTACTCCACCCCTCAACCCCGGATCCATCTGCTCCCCAGTGCTGTAATATGGCCATTTGGGGAATGTGATGTAAATAGAATCACGCCATCCATAAAATTATGGGGTTGGCTTCTTTTCCCACTCAGGATAATTCTCTGGAGGTTCATCCAGGTTGTCACATGTATTAATAGCTTACTCTTTTTTATTTCTGAGTAATACTCTCTGGTATGGATATACCACAGTTTGTTTAACCATTCACCTGTTGAAGAACATCTGTGTTTCTCTTAATAGTCTGGGGCTATTACAAATAAAGCTGCTGTAAACATTTATGTATAGGTTTTTGCATGAAAATAGGTTTTCATCTAACTGGGACAAATGCCTTGGTGTACAATTGCTGGATCATATGCTTGTTATATGTTTAGGTTTTTTTTGTTTTTTTTAACCAAACCATTTTCCAGAAGCCATCCAGTTCCCATGACTCCTCACCAGACTTTGGTGTTATCGCTATAATTTTATCTTAGGCATTTGGACGGGTCTGTTGTGCTATATCACTGCAGTTTTTATTTGTGTTTCACTAATGCTAACAACATTGCACATCTTTCCTTGTGCTTGTTTGTCGGCCGTGTATCCTCTTTCTTATGACTGTTAAGAATCTCAGCGTGTCTGTGTCCCACACATTTCGATATATTGTATTTTCATTTTCATTTAGTACAGTGTATTTTTCATTTGCCTTGAGACTTCCTCTGCAACCTGTGGATTGTTCAGAACTGTGTTGTTTAGTTTCTAAGCATCTGAAGAAGGATTTCCCATTATCTTTCTGGTATCCATTCTTAGTTTTGATTTCACATGGCTAGAGAACACACTATATTATTTAAAGTTTTAAAAATTTGTTGAGGTTTATTTTATGATCCAGGATATGGTCTATCTTGATATATGTATTGTGTGGATACTTGAAAAGAACGTGTGTAGTGCTGTTGTTGGGTGGAGTTTTCTACAAATGTCAATTAGATTATGTTGGTTGGTGATGTGGTTGAGTTATTCAATGTCCCTGATAGTTTTCTGTCTACTCATTCTGTTAATTATTGAGAGAGGGGTGTTGAAGTCCAACTATAATTGTGGCTTTGTCTATTTCTCCTTTCAGTTCTAGCTATTTAGCTTCACTGATTGTGCAGCTCTATTGTTTTAGTGCATACATATTTAGGATCACCATGTCTTCTTTATGGAATGGCCAATTTATTATTACATAATTTTCCTTTATGTTTATTAATTTTATTTTATTCTGGAGTCTATTTCATCTGTTATTAAAATAATATTTCTACTTTCCTTTGATTAATGTTTATATCTTTTTTCATGCTTTCACTTTCAACCTGCCTCTATTGTCACATTTGAAGTAAGTTTCTTGTAGACAGCATATAGTCGTATCATGGCTTTAATTAACTCTGCCAATCAACTGTCTTCTAATTGGAATATTTAGACCATTCACATTTAACATAATTATTAATATGCTAGGGCTTGTTTTATTTTGCTAGGGTGTCTGTGACAAAATACCATGAACTGAGTGACTTAGAATAGAACTTTATTCTCTCATAGTTCTGGAGGCCAGAAGTCTGAGATCTAGTAAGATTTGGCAGGTAGAACAACCAAGAAGAGATATGTTAATGAGTTACCATTGCAGGCAGCTGGGACTCAATCCTCCCGAGGACTCCCTGAGAAATAGGGTGGAACCGTATCAGATTGTCCCACTGAGAAGGAAGAGCCCAGGCCATTTATCCCATCAGTTACTATCCCTATTTACTGGATATGTTAATTCACCTTCACATCTGGGTTTCACTGGTATGTGTCAGAAGAAACCCAGAAGAAAGAATGCACACATTTCTGGTGGGATGCTGTGAATATGTCAGTGTGCCAGGAATTGTCTATAAGAGCTGCAGGTGGACTAAGAGGGCTAGTTATCAACACCTTAAATCATAGTCCATCCCTTGCCCTGCACTGACCCTCTTATGCTGCAAATCAGGTCCATTCTGTAACCAAGGCTTCAGCGGCTGGCCACAGTCTCTGAAACAATTAAAATAGATGGTTAGTGGCACAAGCTACAGTCCCCACTGTCCAGTTAATGTCTCACAGCCTTAACTGACCTTTATCTTAAGCTCATCCCCTACCCTTTCTAGATATATCTCAATCCCAGCCAGCACATTTCTGGTCCAGGTGTTTGTTTGGTGATGCCACCAAAACCTTCTTATTCTCAAATGTTGAGTAAAGCCCAGACACTGTCCGCTTCAGTGAGGCACCTAGGAATTAGAAGGCCTGAAAAACTAGGACCACCCTAAGATTCAAAGGCAAGGGTAGTGAGGGAAGCCACCAGAAGTGCTGGAACTGTGGAGCAGGGGCAGCTCAACAGAGCTACCATCAGAAGGAACGCAGCCATCCAGAGAAATGCCCCAGGCCACAGAGCAATGGGGCAGGATATCTCTCCCCTTCTGCCCTGTCCTCTCCCATGGGGTCTGCCATGGTTGACACTGACCTCCTGCCTGCCATGGGTTGGCCCCAACCTCTGGCCCTACTATCTCCTGATGGTGTCTACTACCAGTGAACCCAACTAGTATCTAAAAAGAACGTAGCTGGAGAACTCCTAGAGGTCAGCCCAGGACACAGGGTGAAATGTGTGACACCTGGAGAGCACCAGCCACGCAGAGCACAGGACTCATGAGGGGCACCCCTGTCCTCTCCATCATCTGCACATGCTGTTCCACCATCTTTTAAAAGGATTTTGTTAAAGGTGCCAGTGCCATAAGGCACTTAGATCAATGGTTCACATGTAACAAGAGAAACACAAGGTGCCTGGAGTACAGTGAATGAGAACAGGGAATAGGAAAATCTTCTTGTTGATACAGAGATGCCAGCCTGTCCTCTAATCTCAGGTCCTGAATGAGCCTGGGCTCTGCCCTTTCCTGCCCCCTGAGAAGGGCGGGCTTTCTGCTGGGCAGCACCTTCCCTGCTGGGGCCAAATAGGGGTGGTGCCAGCACCTTCATTATAGCTTCCAGGGGTTATTAGAGAGGGTGTATTAGTATGATTTGGCAAGTACTGGGGGGCCCAATCTTGGGCCAGAGAGGCACAAAGATGCCATTGTGTGGCCCCAGCACCTGCCTTCAGAGCCTGGGTCAGCTGGGGGTCTCCGGGCAGATGACGCAGGCCTGGAAACTGCAGGGTCAGGGACAGAAAGGCAACTCTTGCTCAAGGAAGCCAGGGACGAGGCCAGCAAAGCCAGGCACCCAGGCCAGCTCAGCCAGAAACTCTGAACACAGGCCAACAGGTGACCTCTAGTGCCTCACTGGGCCCATTCATCCAAAGGGATGAAGTGTGAGGCCTGTCTAAATGGGAAGATTGGGTGATGAATACACACGGGGAACATGAACAGGACCATCCAGGAAGTAGCAAGTGCTCTAAGGAACACAGCCATCCTGGGGTACGGAATGGACCAGGTGGGGGAGGCGATGTTGTCCCGAGTGGGGCCTGAAAAGGAGATATTTAAACTGACCCCAGCCACAAAAGAGTGCCTTCCCCCCACCCCAGGAAGCTCTAGGGTGGCGCGTCCCAGGCAACGGAAGGGCAGTGCAGGGGGGCTCCCAGGGCAGGTGAGAGCTGGGGTTCTGCTAAAGCTCAGCCCCTTCATATCAGCAGGAGGTGGGACAGCCAGTCCCCCAGAGAGCTCTCCAGGACCCCAGCCATGGCACCAGGAGGGCACAGGTGGGGGAGGGAGTGTCACAAAGCTGTAGCCTTCCCTCCGTGGCTCAGAGTGCAGACCTGCACCCCTCCCCGGCCCCTGCTCTGGCAAGTCCCCTGCAGTTGGCCATGAGCGAGCACTTTGGGTGGTACAAGCCCTGGACGCCATCGCGTGTCTTTTCTTCTCTGGTGGCACTTACTTGCCATTCATCAGATCCCAACAATAACAACACTGAACCTTCCCGGATGCAGGGCTGGCCACGGTGGAGGGGGAGGGGGAGGGTCTGTACCAAGTGCTCACAAGCCACCAGCCAGGGGCTATAAAGGGCACTGCGAGGGGAGCCAGCACAGCCGCCCGGACGCCCGGTGACCTGTGGAGACCGTGAGCTCAGAGCCCTGGAGATGAAGGCCCTGCTCCTGACGGCCGTGCTCGGCCTGGTCGCTGCCCTGTCCTTGGCCCAGGAGGAGCAAGACGTGAGCGGGGCTGGGCCCTTGGGCGGGTGAGGGAGCAAGGCCATGCCTGCTGGCCGGGGCTGCAGCCCGGGGCCCTGTTTTAGGAGATGTTCTTCAAGGCCGGGTTCTGACCCCGCTCTCCCGGCCTGGAGTGGTCAGAGAACGGGGTCCTGTAGCTCTGCCGGCAGACAGCAGGGGGGCGGGGGGCAGGGGCAGGCTCAGCTCAGGGGTCCTGCTGCGCTGAGGCCAGAGCCTTGCTGGGAGGTGCCTCTGCAGGAGGCTCGGCCGGTGTGGGGGCAGACACCCTCTGCCTCCCCTGGGGCTGGAGCCCCGAGTGCTGGGCTGGCCCGGACCAAGCTCAGGGTGCGGATGTGCAGGAACCAGCCTGTTCTGGGGGCAGCGGCCGGGGTGCGGGGTGGGGAGGTGTGGGGGAGACCCGGCAGCCCTCGGTGTGGCCTGAGGAGGAGATGTTTGACCTGACCCCGAGCCATGGCCACGCTGGCTCCAGTTTTCAGGGACCTGGTATGTGAAGGCCGTGGTGATGGGCAGGGACATGCCAGAGGAGATGAGGTCCAAGCAGATGTCCCCTGTGAGAGTGACAGCCCTGGAAGGTGGAGACCTGGAAGTCACAATCACCTTCGTGTGAGTGTTGCCCACCTCAGCTCCCCTCCGGGCCACTTTCTGGCGCCCTCCCAGCCCCGCGACGTTCCGGCGTTGGAGAAACGTCACCCCCTGACTTGGGGGGGACAGCCGGAACATCCTGGAGCTCGTGAGGGGTGGCCTGGTCAGGGCGACGCACAGGCGAGCTGAGGGCGGCTCGGGCGTGTCCTGGGAGCCGCTGCCCGAGTGCCTCCTGTTTTCCAGAAAGAACAATCAGTGCGTCCAGAAGAAGGTCCTGATGCAGAAAACCGACGAGCCCGGCAAATTCCGCACCTGTGAGTCCCGGCCGGGCTGCGCCAGCCCCACGGCCCGGGGGGGGGGGGGGGGCGGGGGAGCTCCCGGCCCCGTCCGCCTCCCGGGAGGGGCCGACCTCTTCCTTCCTGGGGGTCGCGTGGCCCAAGTGTGAAGGGCTTGCCCGCAGCAGGGACACCGGGCTGCGCCTTCCCTCTGGGCGGCCCCGGCCGTCGACCCATCGGGGAGGCTGAGGGTTAGAGGTCAGGGGGCAGGGCAGGGGCAGCTGCCTGGAGCTGGGACAGCCACACTGCAGCTTCTGATGTCCCCTGGCCTCCTGTGGCCCCACGGCGTGGGCTGGGAACGTCCCAGGAGGAGGCTCCTCCCCCAGGGTCGTCGGTCGGGGCGTGGGAGCGGGAGGGCCCTGGCGGTGCTCTGCAGGTGCTCTGCAGTGGGGTCGCAGCGTCCCCTCTGGGAGACCAGGCGCCTGAGACCGGCTGTCGCCCACAGATGACGGCAAGAAGCTGCTCTACGCGCAGGAGCTGCCGGGGACGGGCCACTTCGTGTTCTACTGTGACAACCGGCACCAGGGGAAGCTGTTCCACATGGCACGGCTCTTGGGTGAGGGGCCCTCAGAGACCCGTGTCTCCACTTCCAGAAGCCCATGGAACCGGCATCAGCCACGCCCCGGCACCCGGGGAGCAGGAACGCCCTGCGCTGGCTTCGAGTGCCGGGCACGGTGTGGACCAGGCTGGGCTGGGCAGGGCAGTGCCACTCACAGCTGCCAAGTGCCACTTCCTGGGGTCTCAGGCATGGGGAGGGTCACCTCAAGTAGGGGGCAGTGTCCTGACGGAGGCCCTCATAAGGCAGGGATCCTCCAGGGTGGGAGGACAGCCCAGTGCCTCCAGGACACGAGGTCCTTCCAGGTCAGGGTGTGACCCTGCAGGGTGGCTTCCGGAGCTGCTCAGGTCCCCCGGGGTTGCTCAGTGGCTCAGAGAGTCCCCACCACTGTCCTCCTTCCCAGGGACCTGTCAGCTGGGCAGTGGCCATCACCTCCTTCCCCAGTCCCCACCCCTGGCCTCCCTGTCCACCCTGGGTCCAGCCTCCTCTCCTACCCTCGGCCACTCCAGGGCCAAGTCCCCGGCCCGGTGGTGGCTGTCTCCTCCCGGCATCTGCTCCCTGCTCACCTGGCCGCCGCCCCCCCTCAGGTAGAGATTCCGCTACGAACGTAGAGGCCTTGGAAGAGTTCAAGAGATTCGTGCAGGGCAAGGGGTTCCTGGAGGAGGACATCTTCACGCCTGCACAGACGGGTGAGAGGACGGCTCTGCCGAGTCCCCCACGCGCCCCAAGTCTCTCTGTGACCTCTAGGCTACCCTGTGGCCCCTGTGACCACCCCCCAAGTCCCCTCACAGGGATGCCAGGGCCCTGCTTAGGTCTGAGCTGGGGCTGGGCCCCCGTCCAGGCATCTCCTCACCCTGGGTCTGTCTCGGTCTCTGCAGAAAACTGCATTCCTGAACGACACTAGGGTAAGTGACACCGTGGAACACACTGGAAGACCCCGGAGCCCTGGGTTCCCAGATCAGGGGTCCATCTGCTCTGGCCCCCTCCTGTCCCGCACAGGCAGGACAGACCCCTGCCCCTGGGCCAGGCAGGAGGTCAGCACCCCAGAGTCCGCCCAGCTCATTCCTGGGACATCTGGGAAGGCCTCTTTCCCCTGAGCCCTGTGCCCGGCCCAGTGAGGTCTCCGTGCGCTCTTCCAGGGCCCAGGCCTGCAGGGGACCCCACACATCAGCTCAGCACCATTGTCCCCTGCTCTGGTCCCACCTGGTCCACTCCCCCCCCCACGCATACCTGCCAAGGGTGCCCAGAGCCCTGCCGGGTCCTAGGAGGGCCAGGTCGCTCTGAAGGTCCCCGGCTGCCCAGCAGTGACCGTCTGCCTGCGTCTTCCGCCGCCCTGCACCCCCTGACCTCTGCGCCTCTTCCCAGCACAGCAGCCCCTGGGCCTGCACCACTGGAGCCCACCCCGCTGCCTGACAGAGCCCCCCGCCCGCTGGACCTGCCCCTCCACCACCACCCTCCCTGCCCCCTGCTCCCTGCCCCCACCTGACCCCAATAAAGAGCTTCTGCAGTTGCTCTGGGCTCGCCTGTCTGTGAGGGGGCCTTGTGTCGGCTCCCCTGGGGGACTGCTGGGGGGGCAGCAGAGAAGCTAGGAGAGCTGGACCCCACAGGGGCTGGACCCCAAGAGGCTCAGCGTCTGACAGGCCCAAGGTCATGTGCTGTCCTAGAGGGTCCCCCGCAGAGCTGCCACTTCAGGATCACGCTCAGCTCGGGAGGGCCTGAGCCTCCAGAGGAGGGAGGGGAGCTGTCGGGAAGAGTCCGGGGAGTGGGGCAGGGAGACCAAGTCAGGGCTGCAGACGGTGCTGGTCCTGGCAGGGGTCCCGCCCCAGCGGGGACTCAGTGGGACCCTCCTGGGCCCCACTTTAGCAGCCTGGCTGGTGGCAGGGCTGGAGGGGGCGGCCACGGGCGCCTCCCTCATCACCTCGCCCGCAAGCAGAGCCAGTCCTGGCCTCTGCAGGTCCTCGTCCCCACCCTGGCCTTCCCGTGCACTCTCCGGGGCCAGGGTCTGCACTGACACTGGGGCCAAGGTGGGAGAGGAGAGGCCACCACACCACAGGTGGCAAACACACCCAGAAACCGCAAATCCAAACAGGGTGGGCTTCCCGGGGGACACGCCTGCCAGGCACCCGTCTCTCCCCAGGAGCCGCAGGGCCTTCAGCGAAGAGACGGACTGTGTGACTCCCGCCCTGTGTGACCTTTCACCCTCTCCTCACCCCTCCCCCTGGACCTGACTCTTGGCGGGCGCAGGTGGTCCTGGGTGGGGCCAGCAGAGCCAGGCCTTGGTGCCCGGCAGGCCCCGTCCCACACAGACAGGCGGGCGGCGTCTCCCTCCCTCCGCGCCCCCACGCAGATTCCAGAAGGGTTAAGGACTTCCACGTAAAAATAAAAGAAATAGGTGAAAATATCCAACTGATCGCAGGGTGGAAAAGGATTTTTGAAGCGTCTGAGCAGCAGGGGTGAAGTCCCAGTTGCAACGATAGAGACGTGCTGTTACACAGCAACCGCGAGCAGCCGCGCAGGGACCGTGACGGTGGGCCCCGAAGGCTGGGACATCTGCTCCTGCCCCTCGAGGAGGGCCTCGAGTCCCCGGGTCCGTGGGTCTTGGCATCCACGGGTCCCCCATCCCTGCCTGTCCCGCCATCCCTGCCCATCCAGCCATCCCGCCGGGCCAGTCTGTCCAGGACCCGCCCCTTGCACTGCCGCTAAGCGCTGGCCACCCGCTGAGCCAGGGCGGTGTGGGCTGGGCCCGTGTGCACGCCTCCTAACTCGGTGCCACCTCAAAACCCACATGAGTGTCCAAGTTGTCACCAAACTTCCGCCGTTCCCCCCACAGCCCAGTTATCAACACGAGACCCACATGCACCTAAACGTCACATGGCTGGCATCCTGCCCGTGTGTTCTCACGCTTCAATGTGTCCCCCGTGTTTCTGTCCTTGTGTGCCCCCAGCTCCCAGGTGGCTGTTGGCACCTAGGGGGCTCCCAGCAAGTGCCTGGCCAGGGAGACCACAGGGCTGCAAGCTGATAAATGCCTTCGGCAGACGTTCTCAGCACTCGGGACCCTGTGACTTTCTTGGGACGACTGGGGCACATCTTGGCGCGGCAGCGGCTGAACCTGTCGAGAAACCCCGGGCTGCGGGACGCAGCGGACGTGCACACAGATGGCCTGGCGGGCCGGGGGCACCCTGGGAAGGACGGCACTGAGAGGCCTCTGAAGGTTTAGAAAGAGACCACCCTGTAAAAAAAACATTTTTGCAATTAAAAATTCAAGATGATCTGAAGTTGATCTGTCCCTCTGGTACGGTTCTATGGCAACACGCAGATGCGTGTTGCGGCCGCCGCAGTTGAGATGCAGAACAGTTTTGTCGCCCAAAACACTTCCCCATGGCGTCCCTATACAGACACACCCTCCCACCTCCTGGCAGTCGCTGAGGTGTCCTTCGCTCTGCTCGTGTCTTTTTGAGGACGTCACGTGAATAGAACCACACAGCCTGTGAGCGTGGGGGTGGCTCCTTTCCTCAGCGTGACACCTTGGAGGCGCATCGTGCTGTCACACGTGCTGGCCCTGCCTTTCCGGTGCTGCGCGGCTGCCTCCCGCAGACGGCGTGGCCCGTCCTGCAAGCCACGGGGACCCGCTGATGAGGGCTTTGAAGAGACGCCATGGGAACCCCGTCCCCCGCAGATGCTCCCAGCCCACGGGTCACGCCCACCCTCATGTATCGGGACGAGGGAAGCGACCGCAGTGCACGCGGGTTCATGGGCCATCGGACGCCTGGGGCTGGACCTGGGCCCCCACTCCACGCTCACCCGGCCCCAGCAGCTAGCGTGGGGAGCATTAGTCCCACACCGGTGCGAGGGTTCACCCTCCATCCACGGCCCTTGGATCTCCGCGCAGCGCCCTTGCCCACCCTCTGCAACTCCGGGAGAACGTCCGCGTCTCCTGTGGCCCCGAGGGCTCCGCTGGGCACGTGATGGCTCCTGGGCCCGAGAGCTGGCTCCGCTCGGCCCTGGCACCCTCCCAAAGCGCTGGGGTTACAGGTGCGATCCACCGCGCCAGGCTCAAAGTAACATTTAAACAGACCCTCATCTCCTGCAGCCGGAAAGTAGACAGAGGTGAACCCCGAGTGCAGGAACTAATGGAAAACGTGGTGGAATTTCAGAGAAGCATGAATCTGCGGCCTCAGCAAAACTCCTACGCCAGTGGGAACCCTGCCCCGGGAGGAGTGGGACCCGGAGGCTTGGGCCTGGGGTACCTAGGTAGGCACTGGGAGAACCAGGTTAGTGGCCCCCATGTCTGGTTAGATGCCAACACCCCCTTGGGTGAAGACTGTGCAGAGTCTCCACCGAGGCCAACCCTTGTGAGAAGGTGCTGCCCAATGCGGCCACTGGACAAACAGCCGACTGTGGCCACCTGTGCTGGCCCGGCTGCGGGAGTGTGAAGGAGGGGGCAACCTGCACCAGAGCAGCCGCGGGATGTGGCTGACATGCACGGGCAGGACCCAGGAGCACGTGCAGGTTCCCGAGGGTGCCGGCCGGGGAGTCAGGTATCAAGCTTGTTTGGTGTGGAGCCGTCTCCCGGGACTCGGGCTGGCACAGCCTGGCAGGGCTCTGGAGCCTGCTGTGCTGTGGGCACGGCTCCTGCAGGCTGGGAAGACAGCAATGCCTTGTATTAAAAGGGAAAGACGCCAGAAGCACCTTGGCGGGACGCGGAGCTCGCAGAACCGAGCGGTCTAGGCTGGCTCTGTTATCCAAGGCCCCAGATTCCACCATCTGGCCCTGTGGTCAGTGTGCTGGGGGACCCTCCATCCACCAGACAGCGAGATGCATATTGTGGGGGGGCAGGCTGGGGGGGGGCTCAGCCCAGGGACCTGGAGACCAGGATCTGTGGAGACACCCGGCAGGACACGGCGCTCCCAGGAGGAGGGTAGAGGGGCAGCCGGCGAGGGTGCGGCCTCAGTGCGTTATGATCAGTCATATGCGCTACGAATTTTTATAGCAACTTTCTTTTTTCTCTAATCCAATGCGACTGGTATATGAAAACTTCCTTGAAGTATAACATCTGTACAGAAAATTGCAGAAATCAAAAGCATTTGGCGTGAGGAGCACACCTGGGAGACCGCTGCCCAGATTAACACAAAGAATTGTCCCTCGCCCCTTTTCAGCTACTGTTATTTCCAAAGGTGGCAATTTTCTTGATTTTTAAAATATCATAGATTAGGTTTTCTTTCCCTTTCTCTCTCTCTCTCTCTCTTTCTGTCTCTCCCTCTCTCTCTCTCCCCCTCTCTCTCTCCCCCTTCCCTGCTTTTCCCCCACTGCAGGGCAGTGGCTTGTGTTAGTGCTCCTCAAACGTTTGCTGAGTGAAGTCCTTGCTCCCCTTCTCTCAGCTCCTTCGGCTCTGTCCTCGCTGCTCTGCATCGCTGGGAAGCTGCAGGGAGTCAGTCCCCTCTGGGTCCTCAGCTCAGCAGGCCCGTCTCCCTCCCGCCTGCCCTGCGGAGGAAGCTCGGAAGCTCGGAGCCTGGTTCCCGTCCCAGGTCCCAGCCTTCCACTACTCGCTCCTGGACACTCCCTGCGAGGCCATTCTGCAGGCCCCTCCTGCCTGCAGGAGCTTTAACTCCCTGTCGAACCCTCCCCGCCCGAGTCCTCCTGAGAGGGGAAAAGGGAGGCGCCAGGACCGCAGACCTGGCCTGCTCTGGCGGTCACCCAAATGGAAATCCAGCCGTGAGCAGGGGGCTGGCCTTCCTACTCCAGGGAGCCTGGGAGTTAATGGCCTGGGGCTCCATCTTGAGCCCTGGCGCTGACCCCAGCAGAGGGCCGGGCCCCAGGGGGATGCTGGGGCTCACAGTGGCATCTCTGTGCCTCGCAGGCCCAGGGTTTGCCTCCCTGTCCCCATAGTCTCCAAATCACTCCAGGACTTGGACTGCAGGTGCCCCCGTGCCTGTGCGACCGGTACTTACCCAGGTGGAGAGGGGCGGGGCCAGCGCCCTCCCAGGCCAGAGACCAGTGGGCAGGTCCGGGCCTCCCAGGGCCGCAGGGAACGGCTCTGGGGCCTGCGATTATCGTTTGCATGCAAGCTCTTCTTCCAGCCTTTTACCGTTAACTCCTCTGTGTTTTAATATTTGAAGCATGTCTCTTGTAAACAGCATGTAATTAGATCTTGCTTTCGTGTGCAGTTTGACCACCTTTCAATTGGAATATATACTCCTTTTGCACATAACAAAAGTGACACATCTGGATTGCTGTTGTTTTCCGTGGGCCTCTCTGTCGTTCGTGCCTGCATCTCTCCTTCCCGGCCTTCTTTTCACTGATCTGTTACTCATAACACTCCACTTCCTCATCTCCGCTGACGTGTCTGCCGTCCCTCCTTATTTTATTGTTTGGTGGTTGCTGCAGTGTTTGCAGTGAGTCCCGACCTCACCCCAGTCTCCACTGAGTTAATATTACACTGCTTTACGTACACCACG